AAAAAAAAAAAAAAACAGAAAATGTGTATGTATTTTTTTGAATTTAAAATTTAGTTATAGTAGCGTTTAAAACAAAACGTCAAATTTGACGAGTCAGTGAGTCGAGCGGCTCGTTTTGGGCGAGCTCGACCAAAATCCAATGAGCCGAGCTTAAGCTAAGCTCATAGGGAATATTACACTCTGTACTTTCAAATATAAAGAACTTAGTTATCATCATGTATTGATATTATTTTCTTATCAAACGAAAGTGAAAGCAAAGTAAAACACAAAATTATTGTGCAGCTTTCATCCCTTAGGTGATGAATAAACTTGGAATTCACATTGTAGAGATAGAATATAAATATTGAATAGTAAATCTGAAATAAATCTTACAAGAATGGTGCGGCAATGGCATTAATGAATCCAACCCTAAAGAAAAATAGCTCAACCGATCCATATATACCAACAAAAGTGTAGGAAAAAAATTCAAATGTCCCCACTAATCAAATTCAACGACTTTCATTCTATCTTTCCCTTTGATAACAAACTATGCAACTAAATCGGCCATAAATTTGAAAATTAATCAGCACAAACTAGCCCAAAAACAAAGACAACCGAGATAGCAAGGGAGAGAAGAAGAATGTATCGAGGAAGCAAAATGAAGATCTGGTGGTGGAAGTTTTGGTCGAATTTATGGCTTCTAGTTTGAGGTTTTCTGTGGTTTTAGTTTGGGGGTATTGAGCGTATTATTTAAGATTAAAGGATTTTATTTAGTTTCAGGGGGTAATTTTCCAATTTGTCATTTTTAGAGGGTAGTGGACTTAATTACCACAAAATAAAATGGAAAATTAGGCTCAATACCATTAGAAATCGATTAATTTGAATAATACCCTGTTAATGAATTCAATCATATAATAATGTAACAAATACGTAATAAAACCCTCCAAAACCTTGACCACATGCAAGCACACAGAAAACCCCCCAAACCCTTGAGCGCGCACACAGGAGAATATATGGACAACACATTTGTCCACTTTTGCGTCTAAGAAGATTTGATGCAAAAATTGAATCCGTTGACGGTTTGGTAATTATATTCCTACAGCATTTTTGTAGCCATGAATTATGATTTGAAATCGGTGTTCTCTTGGTTACAACCATATTTTTATTACAAAACCGTCAATTCATGGCTGCAAATTAGAGAGAGAATTCAAAGGGAAATTAAACAATGCAAAATGGTGAAAAGGTAAGGGAATGTTCTCTTCGTATTTCAATTTTTTGTTTTGAATTCATTTTGGGTTTTGCGTTTTGAGTGTTAATTTTGAGATTGCTGAAAAGTATTCTTTTTGTCATTTTGAAAAATTATTTCTAAAAATCAAAAATTGGAAAACTCGTTCTCTTTCTTCCCCTCGCTCTCTCTGCTTCCACTCTCTCTGTCGTCTCTTTCTCTCGTTTCTCTCTCTTCTTCCCCTCTTCTTTGTCGACGAGCAGCGACAGTGGTTGTGATCGGTGCATGGTGTGTGACAATGGTTGGTTGTGGCTGCGATCGCTGGTGGCTTCGTCTCTCTCTTTTTTTTTTACTATGGCAGTGGTGTGTGGTGGTTTTGGGTGCGTGGTGTGAGACGGTGGTTGGTTGTGGATGCGATTGCCGGTAGCTTCATCTCTTCGTTTTTTTTTTTTGGATTGTGGCTATGGCGGTGGTGTGTGGTGGTTTTGGGGGCGTGGTGTGTGACAGTGGTGTGGTGCAAGTTGTGGTTGTTACGGTGGTGTTTGGGTTCGTGGCTATGGCGGTAGTGTGACGATGATTTTTCTTCTGCTGTTGTGGTTGTGGCGGTTTTTGTGGTGGTGGATAGCCGATTTTTTTGGTGGTGGATGTGGTGGCGGATCTGGCGGTTGTGTGGTGATGGTTGGGGTGATGTTGTGGCAGTGGCAGTGGCAGTGGCAGTGGTTTTTGTTGTGGTGTGGTGTAGGCAGCGATGGTGGTGGTTGCGGTGGCGGCGACAGTGGTGTGGTGCGGGCGGCATTGGTGGTGGTTGGGGTGACGTTAAACTGAAAACATTCAAAACGCGTTTTGAAATATTTTTCTTGATTTAACTGAAAACACCAAAAACGACATTTTTGTCGTTTTAGATTTTATTTGTACATTTTAAACTCGTTTTCGAAAATTAAAATTTTGAAAATAAGTAAGTACGTGTTTTCACTGTTATGAAAAATCGAAAACAGAAAACGAATTGAAAACGGCAAAGAGAACAATCCCTAAGCTTTTATTTAGCAAATGTATTCAGTTTTCAACGTTGACGGTTTGGGTTGGTTTTCGTTTGACTTTATTTGTATCTGTTGGAGGATTTATTCATGAAGTTACAATTTCAATATAGAGTTTAGAGTTCTTTTTTCATATGGATGCATTAAAAAATTTAAGTTTTTCTTGACTTTCAGAAATAGATCAATAAGTTTAGAGGATTTATTAATGATATCTGGTATCCATTTTATAGTCATCAAATTTATGGACTATATCATATTCTAGCAGCCCCAGGCCATTTGATGCAACAATACAATCGGCTAGGCGATCTTGACAATTGCTTTGAAAAGTGGACTGCTTTTATTGATTTTTTACTTCTAAAACACTTTTGAAATGATTTTTCAAAACTCCTAATTTCAAGGGTGTTTTTGTTAGTTGTCCTAAAAAAAAAAAATAGGGCACAAAAATTGAAGCCAATATTTGGATAAAATATGGGGAGATGCAAATATCAATATTTCTTTAAAAACTTGTTTGTTTATGTCAGTTTTAATTTAAAAAAAAATAACATCGTACCTCACTTTTTAATAATAAAAAAATGTCTAACTTGATTTTTCGTCATTATATGTTTGTTTCTATAACAAATGATTTCTTGGTAGAATATATTGCAGTTGAATGTAAATGTCATGTTTTGGTGCTTGTATATCCTTTTAAGTCGTACTTGAAACCAAAAGTTGGCATTTGATGTAATATTTTCTGTGACCTTTTGCGCTTAGGTTCGGCCTTAGTGGTGAATCTGGTGATGTGGATGGGTTGAATTTGCATAAAATGATATATTTTAAAGTTTGATTGATGTTGTATCAATTTTTTTTTTTTTTTATTGAAAAGTCACATGTAATTTTATAAAGTATTTTTTACTTCCAAAATACCTTTCATATAATTTTTCAGAAGACTGCTAATTTTAATGGTATTTTTGTAAGCTGCCCCAAAAAAAATTATAGTTGGACCCAACTTTAAAATAGGGAATATTACATAACTAAGATGTTAAGTTTCATCAATTTCAAATTTAAGATATCAATGTCTAGAATTTAAAATTTCAGACTTTTTAAAATTTTATTTATAAATTAATTAATTAAACATATATTTTATTAATAAAATATATTAAAGTCACAATTTCATATAATTTGGTCACAAATTCCATATAATTGGTCACGTATTATTAATTGGTCACAAATCACAATTTTTATATGTTACAAATTATTTTACGATCACAATTCAAAAAATATATAAGTCACAATTTGTTCATCGGTCACAAATCAAAAATTTGTACGTCACAATTTGTTTAACGGTCACAAATCTATCAATTTAATAAGTCACATATTATTCATTGGTCATAAATGATAGATTTTATATCTCACAAATTATTTTACGGTCACAATTCAAAAATTTTATAAGTCACAATTTGTTCATCGATCACAAATAAAAAAATTTATACATTACAATTCATTTACCGATAATTACAAGTATTATAAGTCACAACTTATTAGACAATCAGAAATTATCAAATTATCGGTTACATATTAACAATGTTTTAGGTCACACATTATGTCTTGGTCACAAATTATAGAATTTTAAGGTCACATTTCAATAGTTAGTGACAATGAACCAAATAATTGGTCACATACACCAAAACACCCCACCCTCGATCTCGATTAACCACCAATACTTGGTCACAAATCAATCAAATAATTGGTTAGAGACACTATCCTATCACCGCCACTATCACAACACCACCACCACAAGATCCAATAAACTCCCAACAAAAATCATCACAATCGCCCTGCCATCGCCGCCACCAGCCACCACCATCACAACCACCGCACCCAACCATCGCACACCACCACCGCAACACCATACCAACTGCTAATCACTGCACCAAAGCCACAACCACAGAGGCCGTCTATCATGCCAACCAACACTACCACGGCCACCACCACCAACTGCGAACACAACAAAACTCACCTAAAAAACTCCGGTGCTAATCATCGACACATCAATGCCAGATTTACCACTACCACCAGCAGATTCAGTAAATCCATTTTGATCCACCACCAATCTAACACCATCGCATCAACAAAAAATATTGCCAAATCACGACGTAGAGCACAGACACACCATCATCGTACACTACCTTGGCCACCACAAATCGGCAAAACACCACAAATCGGGATCTAGTTAGATCCACCACCAATCTAACACCACCACACCAACAAAAATTATTGCCAATCACAAAGCAGTGCACATACACACCACCATTGCACCACACTTCGACCACCACAAATCACCAGAGAAACACCACAAATCGACAAAACACCATAGCTCCGATGCCACGCATCAACGCCGCACGCAAAGGAGCGGTCCTACGGGCTGGACTAATACAGATCGCCGCAGCTGTTGCGCCTTCGCACAATTGGAGGTTGCTGAAAGCAAAATTTTCAAGCTTCGAATCGCCTTCTCTCATGCCAATGGAAATTGGAATGTGAAGTTTGAAATGTATGGGTAAGGATTTTCGGTTGGATGGGTTGGGGATAGGTTTAATAGATAATGGGTGAATGGATGAATATTAAAAGATGAATAATTATCTAATTTTTGAAAAAAATTCTTAAAATCTGATTTTTGAATTTTGCATCTTAAAATTCTGATTTTGTGTAATTTCCACTTAAAATAAGCTAACTACCCACACTCTTCAATATTTATCCATTATCCTTTGAACGAATTAGACCCATCCCGAATTCCCAACCCCAACTAATCAAAAGGCCTTACCATACTTGTCTTCATATATAAGGAAGTGAGAGCACAGAGAAGCGAAAGACCAAAAAAGCATTCAAGATTGAAAAAAATTAACAATGATTCTCCGAAGTCCGACCTCTCACTGCCCATTGTTTCCTCCAACCGTTGGCTGTTGATCGACCGTCGAATGTCGTTCATGTTATTTGCAGGGTAAACTAATGAAATATGGCGTATATGGCATGAACCCTATTTAGGTTTTTGATTGCTTTTTTACATTGCCCTGTTTGACATCCATCATTTGAAAACTTTTTTTTTTTTTTATATATTCATTTTCAACTATACATTCACAAAACAAATATATTCTACAAATAAATTCAAAATTTTTCTCTACTTTGTAACCATGCATTTTCCTATAAATCTCTATTCAAAGCATTGTGCGTATCAAATAACGGCCATCAAACAGGGGCCTCGTTCAGGTTTTATTGGAATTCTTTGTGTGATTGTTATTGAATTTTATGGGGTTGTAATTGGTTGTGTTTTCTCTACTATAACTCTTATGGTTTGTGAGGTAAACAAATTAAATATGCTTATTGTGTTTCATAAAAAAAAATCCTGCTTGAGAATAATAATTTTGTTAATATTATTTTATGTTTTTTCATTTTTTTAATTAATTGATTCTGACTTCAAAAAATTGGTAATTAGCAAAAAAAATTGGGAATCGGCAGCGTTCTTTGTCAAACTCTTCAAAAAAGATCTCAAGACATTTCAACTGCTATCAAATTTGTCTCCAACACAAAAGGTCTCCTTAAAAAATTTAGGGAAGATGGTTGGGACAAATTTCTTAATGTAGTGAAAACTTTTTGCTCAAGAAATGATGTTGATATACTCGACCTAAACTCCTTTTATAAGATTGGTCGTCCTCGTGAGCAAGTTACACTTGAGCATCATTACTACTTCAATATTTTTAATAAAGTCATAAATTTTCAGATGATAAAGTTAAATACAAGATTTAATGAACTATCAATAAAACTCATCTATCGCATTATTGCTTTCGATCCTCGAAATTCTTTTGAATCATTCAACGGGATGATATTTACAATCTTGAAGAGAAGTTCCATCCTTGTGATTTT